GATTGCCTGAGCCCACAGGTTTGAGACCAGCCTGGGCAACTTGGCGAGATCTTGTCTCTACAATAAATAAAAGAATTAGCTGGGCATGGTGGTGTGTGCCTGTAGTTCCAGCTACTTGGAAGACTGAGGCGGAAGGATTGCTGAGTCCAACAGGTCAAGGCTGTAGTAGCCGTGAGCGGTCCACTGCACTCAAGCCTGGGTGACAAGGAAAAAAGGGGGAAAGTGAAAAACTGTAGGTATAGATCCGTTCTTCACTTGCCCCTGAAACCCTCCAGATAGTGTAGAATCCAAAATCAGATGGACCCCGTTGGTATTGCAGCCAGAGTACCAGGGCAGTTGACTAAAATAATTTCTTCTTCCTCTAGAAATCTAGAAATCTAGAGAAAGAAAATGAAGGTCTTTTCTCTCTCAAGGCCTTCAACTGATTGGATGAGACCCATCCACATTTGAATGGAGCGTAATCTCTTTTATTCAAAGTACACTGACTTTAGTCTCATCTAACAAAAAGTCCCTTCACAGTGACATTTAGACTAGTGTTTAACCAAATATCTGGGTACCATAGCCTAGACTAGTTGACACATTAAGTTAACCATCACAGTTAAACTTTTTTTGGGGGGGAGCAAATTCTTTATTCTCGTTCATTCATGGAACAGCTACTGGCCACACCAGAAGCTGTTATTGTCATCACTTAAACAAATGACTTGACTGCCAAACACAGAGCCTTGACTGAAGGCAAAGATGGTCTCTGTCATCGCCATGATCAGCATGAACAGCATCACAGTCACAGCCTTGATACTAAGAAAATAGGAAATGACCAGGAGTAACCCTTCAGATTTCAAGAAGCCAACTGAGGCAGTGAAGGAAAATTCTATTCCTACAAGGGATGTTCCCACTTCAAACCCCTGGATTGACTCTATATTCCTGGATTGAGGCTTTATGCTGGAAATTGGCCCACAAAAGAACAGTGAGGAAAAAAAAAATTGCTGTAGTATGAATAGGTAAACAACTTCCTCCCACCACTACAAAGGGATAAAAGGACTGCCAGATGGCTTGTAAGGTTTGGCAACCTTAACCTAGCTCAGATGACTTCACACCATTACGAATTCTCCCCAGACTAGAACAACTCTAGAGTGGGCATCAACTGACTCTGTGAAGAAAAGACTGACCCTGGAGGGTGCTCCCAAATTGACAGCTCTATGTCAACTTCATGGGACTATCAAAGGAGCTTTACTCCCTCAAACTCAAGTCCAGCTTACTGCCCCTGTAGTTCAGGCCTGCAAACATCTGGAAGAAGGGAGTCATCACTCCCTCTACCATGCTTTGACTGCATCTATGTATGAAACTCATGACCCAAGATTATATTTATTTATTTCTATATCTGCCTCCTTCTCAAAGGAACTAGGAAGCAAGTTCATTGAAATGTGTAACCCAGCATTGGCATATAGTGTTTGGTAAATGTTTGTTGAAAGAAATAAAAATAACCTATTGAAAAATCAATGTCCCTCTGTGTATTATCTTCATACCTTATCTCTGCTAGGCACATACATTCAAATGCTTATAAAATTACATATTTTTTTTAGCCAGGTTCGGTGGCTCAGCCTGTAATCCCGTGCCTTTGGGAGGCTGAGGTGAGTGGATTGCCTGAGCCCACGGGTTCGAGACCTGCCTGGGCAGTGAGACCTCATCTCTACAATAAATCAAAAAATCAGCTGGCCGTGGTAGTGCATGCCTGTAATTCCAGCTACTTGGAAGGCTGAGGCGGAAGGATCGCCGGAGCCCAGCAGGTCGAGGCTGTGGTGGCCGGGAGCGGCCACTGTACTCCAGTCTGGGCAACAGAGTGAGACTCCAACTCAAAAAAAAAAAAAAAAAAAGATAGTTTAAAAAAAAAAAATTACATATTTTTGTTCAGCAAGAACTAGTATTCCCCACTAGGAAGTAATGCAAGGCTTTGTTGTGACATATTATAAGCTTCCTGTGTACACATGGCTGCTTCATGACTTGATTGGGCCAAATCAAACTTATGTGCAAAATCAAAAAAGGATGATTCCCAGGAGTAGGATCATGTGTGCCTAACACTAACATAGCTTAAAAAGTCATTCATGGGACTTCCTGTTGGACATGGAAGAAGTCAATTCTCTGTCCTAACAACAAGTAAAAAGCTGAACACACTGAAAAATCAACAACTCTTCTTAGATTTAGAAAAGAAGTGAGGTTACAGGGCAAACTGCTGCCCCCAAAATTGGAGGCACCAGCAGGTGAATACAGAGAATCACAACAGGGTAGAAACTCACACAAGGAACCAGGAATTGGTACTAGGAAGGAAAACCTGAACTATCATTGAAAAATTGCTGAAGGGTTGGTCAGTGTGGAGGAGTCCAAGTGAAAAAACCTACAGGGAAACCAGCCATGGGGAAGGAGTTGGGGAGCACTTTTTTGTGAGTTTTACTTTTAGGGGTTCTATCAGGTCCACAGTGAACATCAGAGAAAAATCCCCTTGTGATTCCAGCAGAGAGGGGAAAAGAAACAATTTTGAAAACTACCAGAGCCCTATATTCTCCTTGGCAAGGTATGCCCTAAGGAAAAACTGGTTAACCAAAGCCCAACCTGGTGGGCTTTATCAGAGCCTAACAGACCTGAGGGAAAGAAAATACACTGGCTGGCACCAATCTTCCACGCGCAGAAAGGCACATACCCAACTCCGGTCCAGTCTGCTCATGCACGTGGGAGAAGGCAAAGCCCACTGTAGACATCCTAGCCCACCTAAGGAGATGTGAGTGGGGAGGTCTGAGAAGCACATGTGAAGTTCACTGTCTAGAAGCTCAGGCTCACTCAAAGGCCTAATGACAGGACTATAGAATGCTTCCCCTCCCCCACACCTTACCACCACATTCATGAAGATCTATTGACAGCAATGCCTTTTAGCCAGTACATTTTGTCCATTTACAAAGAAAAAATTACAAGACATACTAAAGGCAAAAACACAATTTGAAGAGACAGAGATAGCATCTGAACCTGACTCAGATATAACACGGATGTTAAAATTATCGGACCAGGGATTTAAAACAACTATTGTTAATTTGCTGAGGGCACTCATGGGTAAATTACATAGCATGCAAGAAGCCGGGCTCGGTGGCTCAGCCTGTAATACCAGCACTTTGGGAGGCTGAGGTGAGTGGATTGCCTGAGCCCACGGGTTCGAGACCTGCC